ATTATTAAGGCAACAGGAAGAGAAACATTTTAAAATGCTACTAGTCTCATTTTAAAATTAATGTATATTCTTAGCATTAAATTCTTGTCTTGTTTAGAAGCAGTAGCTGTCAAATATTATGGTCTTCTGTTTTCAGAAGTATTTGATTTGGGACATCTCAAACAACATATTCTACTCTTGAGATTGCTCATGTGTTGACAGCTTGTATGTGCTCTTGTTTACTTTCTGATTAGATCAAAATAAAAATATGTGCAGCTAGACCGGTTTTAGTGACTCTGAAGATATGCCAAGGCTCGTCCTCTTGGTGTCTGCTTTCCTATAAACCTGTTTAGAATGTAGGAGTTATTCTTCACAACTAATTTCTTTCTTTTGCGTCAGACAAAAACATTAAGGTACCTGATAAATGTGTGGGTTTCCCCACTGTTGTGCCATGGAATTTTTATTTTAAAACAATTATCCTCAAGCCTACTTTTTCTAGCAGCACAGCTTTGCATACAGGTCAGTAAGCCTTTCCATTATTCTTTAGCTCATGGGTTCCATGGATTATATCCTCTGTGGCTGAATCCTTTCCCTTGTAGAGGAGATCCTTGCTTTCACCTCTGCCCTCATGCAGCTCAGATATCTTGTGGTGTTTCATAGAACTCAAAATTTCATATACAGCCATAGCTTTCATTATTGCTTTCCTGCTTTCTTTGTCATTTTCTGGGATCCCAAATTCTGTTGGAGTGGTTTCACTGTTAGTTGATATTATTCCAAGAAATCTGTCGCTCACAGTAATAGGACTGATCCCTTTCCTGGATACTGAATAGTAGGTGTTGCTGTCTTTTTATTTCTGATATAATGCATTCAGAAATGCTTAGCACACAGCTACAGGATTTTAATAGAATAATAGGGAAGTCTGGCTTTTGAGGATGGACAGTTTTATTTCCAATTACATTATCATGATGATGATCTTATTGCTGCACTCAGAAAGGCAGTGGTATTTCACTGTCTGAATCCATCTTTTAAGAGACTGTCTGGACCAATCTTTACCTTTATCAGGGAATGGGGAATTTGTGTTTTCTAAGGAAGTACTCTGAAATTTTCACCAGCAGAATTATTCAGGTAAATGTGCTATGTTTAGGCTTTTCAGAAAGAAGTGATGAAAGGACTCAGTTGCAATTAAATTTTCTCTGCTATTTAAAGAGAGGACAATATTCTTTCACAAACATGAGATGAGTGAAGTCTATGTGCTTCATGCTGTGTCTGCAGAATCAGCAGCCACTATCAGAGACTTATTGCAAGGACTTTAGCTTAAAATATCAGCCATTAGCAAATCACCAACCTTTGTTATGAGTATCTGACTTAATTCTCAGTTCTCTGCAAACCTTGTTGCATCAAATCACAGTAGATCAGTGCCTCTTACAGGTGGTCTGACACATTCCACACTCAAGGTAGGATGTAGGTTTTGCCCTCCCCATCTGCAAGAAGGTGGTTGAAGCACTGCAGCCCTGATTTGCAGTTGCATTTTGCCAGGCTGCCCTTCCTTGCAACCTCCAGTGGATGCTAGGTGGGTTGAAGGTGTCTGAAGTCTGCTTTTTGAACCATGTCTGTCTTCAGCTTCAGCCTGGTATCCTGGATATAGTTAACCATATTTTGAGCTTCAGATAAATATTTCATAGTCAAGAATTAACAACAACAAATATGATAAAAAAACCTACCAAAAAATCCCAACACAACAAGAGCACCACAAATATTTGCCTGTGATGACACTTTTAACATTTCTTTGAGATGACTTTTTATTGACGTTTTGAGCATGCTCTTTTAGAATTGCTAGGGGATGTGAATAGGTCAGTGAGAGAGCAAAGCAGTTTCCTTATGAGCTCTACAGGAAGCTCCTAGATGTTGCTGTTTATCCCATAGTTTTGTTTTTACTGTCTTCTAAGCTCTTAATTTCTTCTGTCTGCTGCTTTCACAATGTAACATTACACAGATTTAATGATTAGTCACAACTTTATCCCTTTTCGTACACTGAGTTTTATAACTATCCTAATTAAACATGCGCATGGTAAAATTGCAAGCTAGAAAGAGCTGCCTGGGCTTGGATGATAGCAATTAAATGATTTATGTTTACAGACATCAATATTTATCTTATGCCTACCGTCTGTCCTAGCTTGTCATCTGTGGTTCCATGTGTAGTTCATTGGCTTTAGTAAGCAATCCAGATTCTTTTCTCTGGACACTGTGTTCTTGGCTGAGGAGAATACTGCTTTTCGTAAGATCATGGAGTAAGACCATATTCTGAGTTTCACAAACACTCTTAGTCTTTCTGTCTTCACCTGAGGATTTTTTCCTGCTAAAGTTTCAGAAATACAAGGTTTCAAGGTGCTTAAAATAAATGAGTCACTGTCTCCTCCTGCCCCCAATTGTTCTTAAACAGGGAGTTCTTGCTAAAATTATTTAGGGTGATGCCCCTGACAAAAATACGGATGAACCAAGTCCCAGTTTCCACTGAGTTTCAGTATGTTAAACAGACATAATTTATTTTTCTTTTCTGCAGTTCTCCTTGGCTCTGGCGGGGTCAGAAGCAGCAGTAGCACTTTGGCTGTTCCCAGTTGAGTCATTTGGAATGCAAATCACTTTGCAGTGATGCCAGAGGTTCCCATTGTGCTGGGCTTTATATAAAACGCGTGACAGATTGTCAGCTTTGTCACATTCCCTGGGCAGCAGGGAATGGGTAGAGGCTTCAGCTTTGGATTCAGATAGAACTGGACTAGTATCAGAAGATCTTTGTCGTCTTTGCTTTGCAGATAACTATAAATCATGTTAGAATATTACACTGAGTGCTTTAGCTTGATATTTTGATACTAACGTAATTTCTCAGTGCAAATAAATTCCTACTGGGGAAGCTTAGCAGAACGTGTGCTCTGAGGAATACAGTCTTCCTGTACCCTTCCCTGCTTTTCTTCCCTGTCTGAACTAGATATGAAGAGCAGAAGTGAAGTCTGGGGAAAATACCAAGCAATATAAATTATCTACTCTTGATTGATCTTGCACTATCTGAACTGCAGGGATTTGGGGTTGTAGGAGCATGTGCTGAATCTAAATACAGGGTCGTGCAGAAAGGGTATCTCTTGTGCTGTAAAAATGTGCTGGAAGTCTGGGCAGGAAATATCTTCCCAACTGGACAAATAGGAATCTGGGTAGATGTCCATGAAAATAAAGCTAGTGATGGACTTTTACTCTGATTTGCTGTCTATTAAATATCTTGGTTATTTTTGCATTAAACCAAACTTGGTACTGAAGGTTCTCTTGAGAGCTGGATGAAAGTTGATCTTGTGTGATTCTGTGCTATACTAGAGATTAAATACATTGTGTTGTGTTTTCATTGCTATTCAAAGCTTTTGAATTACTGTGGCACTGTTTCAAAAATACTCAGAAGGAAGCACTGAACTTTCTTTTCCTACTCAGTCCCATGTTAGTAGGACAAGGCCTGAATGACTTAGCCATTTCAATTTTAAAGAAAGAAAAGTTGACATTTCTTGAGGAATGTTTGAGGCAATTTGAGGGCTGTGGAATGTTTTTTCCAATTATTATGCAAATTTTAATTTCTGAGATTATCAGTTTTGATTCTTTTAAGTAGTTTTGTCAGCACAATCCACATCACTAATGTTAGTGAACTTAATAGGAAAACTGATGATAGTGATTGTAAATACTACTATTTAGCATGGTGAATTCAAAGAGTAACAAGGGAACATTTAAGGCTCTTTCACAACTCTGTAATAAGTCCCCACTTATGTAGCTGTCACCCAGAGTTATTGTGCCCAGAGTTTCAAAGGTGCTGCTCTTTTGGCTTTTGTGGATACAGTAGCTTCTTAAAAATTAGATTGTGATTAAAAGACTTTGAACAAATGCCTTGTATTAAAATAGGACCTCATGTTCTCTACTGTGACTAGGTTCTCTGTAGCTTAAATCCACTTTAAATCCAGAATTTTGGTGCTGAAGTCGTTTGCCTTATGCAGTTCCTCTCTGAGGGAATGTGAGTTGGAGCAAGCAGATGGAACAAGCAGATGAACAGATTTTGCAAGCATTTTGAAAATAGGTCTTGAAAGGGGTTTTAGTATTGGAAGCAAATAAGTCTGGATGAATAAGAATGAAACTTCACACGGTTCTTTTTCATTCTGGCTTTGGTTTTTCTAAAACTTTTCTTTCTTTTAACTTAGAATTACCCTGTGTTCAAGATCCTCTTTTTTTAATGAGGTCTTTGCTTTTAAACATAGGTACTCTCTCTGCTCTATAGCTGATTTTGTTCTTTTTTAGCAAGGCTTATGGTTTTGTTATTATCCTTGTACCAATAATTTTCCCTTTGGGACAGGAAATAGTCTAGAGGCAAGACACTATGAAAACAGATGGGCTACACATTGAAAATGGAGCTGATGAAGCTGACAGCCTCTTTGCGATCCTATCAAGCGTGTCGTTGTATGGGTGATAAAATCAGCAGCCAAACTTCTGCCAAGTTTTTTCAATTCTCTTCTACTTTGCAGCCACATAACCACACAGGGAAACTTGCATAACTCTCCCCAGCAACATCCACAGCACTGCCTATGTTGAGGGCACTCGAGCAATACTCTCACTCATCTCCTAAATGCTTTTCTGAGAGTTGCCTGTTTAGGTATTCACAACTTCAGATCTGGAACAAATGTACTTTTGAAAGCTTGTTCAGACTGCACACAGTAATTACAATGTGGGAAGTACCGTGTACCAGCAGTAGAGATCTGTTAGTATGTGTGGAGCTGCAGAGAGTTTAGGGCAAATGTTAATGCCCTAATTTGAAAATCTGGGTTTGAAGGACAAGGCATGAGTAGAGTGCCCAGTAGCATGTTCCGTGTGTCATAGTTGTGTCATAGATGGCTTAGATAAAACCTCCTGAGTTGTCAAATGGCTTTGCATTTGGAAAATCTTGTGAGCAGCATGCCATGTTAATTTTAAATAAAAATTAAACTTTTTTCCCCTTTTTATAGGAACTGGAGACATTGTTGCCGTCATGATTACAGAATCAAAGGTTAAGGAGATCTTGAATTACTTGGAAAAGAACATCTCTGTCCTGATGGCCATAGCAGTGGGGTCCCGTGTTCCTCCGAAGAACTTCAGCCGTGGCTCTCTAGTCTTTGTGTCAATATCATTCATTGTTTTGATGATCATTTCTTCAGCATGGTTAATATTTTACTTCATCCAGAAGATCAGGTACACAAGTGCACGTGACAGGAATCAGGTAAGGGGTTTCTTTTCTTATGATATGGAGATAATATTTCTGTATACAATAATCAACAGAGGAAAAAATAAGGAATGCCCATCGAACTGGTGTTCAGAACTACTTTGTTCCAAGGCAGAGAATGTTGCCAGACAAGGATTTTTATATAGCAAAGTGTTTTCATCCTGAGCAGCACTGGTATAGATCCTGTACATGACAGCAAGGAATAGAACTGAAGCAAAATACTTGAGTTTTGGTTTGTGTAAGTCCAAAAGTAAGATGGATTCTGTTTTGGCTGAGTAATACATACAGGATGTATGCTGGGAATGAGGAGGAAAGTTGAATTGTGAATCAACTTGTGTAGTGTCAAGGAACACTGAGCAAATGTTAAGAAATTCTCTCCATGCTCTTAAGGATATGTTCTGTAATAGTTAAGATAATTCAGAAATTGTACAAACGTATTCCCAAACCATAATCTGTTATGAATGTTAGGGTAAGAAAACTAAGGTGTAGAGCTGCTTAGTGGTCTGCGTTAACATTCAACTTTATTTAAGATCACCCTTGGTAAGGAGTGCCTAATCCTCCTGGTCATATATTTTAACCAATATTTTGTCCAATATGCCTTTCTTACATTCTTTTTCAACTCTTAATTTGTTTAAGAACTGAGTTATGTATGGCCATACTCAGAGATCTAGGGTAAATCAAGTTGTCAACTCAAACACAGATAAACTTCAGAAGTAAATGTTTTACTAGTTTGGACTTAATGACTCTCCATAGTGTGCCTTGGCTTTTCTTGAGAAGGATCAGTAAACCTCAGGAAATCCACAATACACTCTTTGCCCTGTCTCTCTGTCAAGGCTAACTTCAAAACCTCCTGACCTCTAGTTGCTGTCACCCCTTTCCCCCACATTACAGCTGATACAGAACAGCTGACTTTGGGCCAGTTTTTTGGTGTTCTGTCAGACCTAAAATAAATTCAAACTTACAAAACCTCAGCTGTGGCACAGGATTTCCTTTTCAGTTACTATAAATAGTGTCTGATACTGCAGGTCCCATGGGCATCCTGTAGATTTTTTTAAGGATGTCATTCTTAAATGACCACACTGGAGCCGGTACTTAGTGTGGTCCCTTGGGATGGTGAAAGTTTAAATATAACTGTAACTTAATGAATGTCTGTGGAATACTAAATTGTGCCTTCTCTATCCCCTACATGGCTTTAGGCTCCTTCCAAATGTCCACGTTTCAAAATGGTTGCTCCATTGGGAAAGGGCTTTTATGACCTTTTTTCTTTCTTTAGATTTTTACAAAGGTCAGGAGAAACTTGATAAAAATTTTATGTGGTTTAAAAAGCTGAGCTTATTAAACTTTAATAAGAAGGTGGCGACAGCTACAGCTTATTTTTAAAGAGCTTTGAGAGCTTTCACAAAGACTGTACTGTTAGTGATGAAATAGCCTTGGTTTAGGCTATGATCTTGTTTTTAAGTTATGTCAAGGCACAAGCTTTTCTGTTTTTTAAATCAAAGCCATCAAAAACTTGCTGTGTTTTGTAGATAACACAAGTAGATATTGGTATTTCACATCGTTATTCTTGCGTGCTTCCGCCGGAGGTGTGAAACTCTTTTGCATGTGGAACTGACCTTTTCCATCCAGACAGTTGTGGGTTTTAAAAGCAAGCATATGCCTGTGCCCTAACTTAGCAAAATAGCAAATCCTGAGCATTTCCAGTGTTAGCATGAAAGAGTATTTGTTAAAATTAGAAAATGGAAGAGGTTGACCTCTTAAACGGAAGAGATTGAAGTTATTATTTAGCAAATCTATTTACGTAAAAGAACTTCAGTATGTTGGGAGAGTTCTGCTGAAGTATTATGCTTTCAGTGGGAAAATAATCTTTAAATTTCTTGTAGTGCATATACAATCACATGCAGTAGAAGGAAATATAGATACTACCCACATTTACTTAGCTGTTGGAGTTGAGCATTTAAGATAAATGGCATTTCAGCCTCGTTCCTCTCTTAGTAATCACACTTTTGGTTATGCAATGGTTATCTACTCCAGCAGTGTGCCCAGTGTGTTCTGTGTCATTAAGTGCTCAGGCCAATATGCTTGTTCCAGGGCATGTAATTTAGATCGGCTTAAATTGGCCAAATTCTTGCATACTGAAGTTAGGGTGAGATTTTGACTTTAGCAAGCATATAATTTCCCATCCCAGGTCTTCTTCTGATGCTATGCTTCCTACATGGATGTACTTCAGTAGCTGGGACTGTTTATCTGATTTTTTTCAAATCCTTGTTCTAAAAAATATAAAATAAGAGCTGCTGTTCTGTGAAAATCACAAGGAAGAAAAGTGGTTATGTAATTCTAGAATAAGTGGTACAGTCATTTGTGATACAGACTTCTGAGGTCATTGTGTTTCGCAAATAAAAGCAACTTTAATTGCTGTTTGCCTGCAGGGAAATGTGTTTTACAGGGGATACACCTTATGAAGGATTTGGGTTTCAGTTTTATAGAAGGTGGGCACAAAACCCCACATATTCATTGCAGACTGCAGGAGAGGTTTTGGGAGCTGCATTCTGAGAAGCAGCCTATCTCTTTCAAGGGAGAATACTTAGTACAGGTTGGAGGGGACGGAGAAAATACATCACTTCTGGTTTTTAAGTCAGCTGTAAACCAAGTCTGATGTCTCATGTCCCTGAAGGAAGATGAGGGGGTCTTTGTTTCATTCACTGCCCATCTCTGGGACCCCAGTGACAAAACAGTGACAAACAGCTGTTCTGTATTGGCTGGGCACTGGGCATTTCAGTAGGAATCAGCACTTGGATGTCAGAAAAGCCTCCTTCCATCCAGCTGTGGTGGTCATAAAGCAGCATAAACAGCAAAAAAATAACTCGCCCTCTGCATTCAGATTGAGGTTATCTTCAAACCAGTATTAATTTCATCTTTATTTAAGTCTGTATGGGCTTATTTAGATTTCATGACCCATCATTTTTTTCTTTTATGAGATCCTGGTGGTTTTGGGTAATAGCAAGAGAGAAACTAGGTTACACTGGGAGGCTTTTGCATCTCAGAATAAGATCAGCCTGCTCAGAGTGGAAATATAAAAATAATTCAAGCTTAAAAGAACAAGCAGTATATTACAGCACACTGAATAAAAATCAGTATGAACAGAATATAATGGAAATCATTGGGAGGGGACATTGCTTCAGCTTTTGTCCTGCAACCTGGGTTTGATTAGTTTTGCACATCAATGTTGATTCACTTCTGTAGACTTCTATACAGTTCATGAGTTTTATGCCCATGCTCGTGGAGAGCATTTGAGGATTCAACTGTTGGCTATTTTTCCTTCTCAACAAATCTCTGTGCTTTGCTTTGTTTGCATTTTGTCTTATGTGTTGGCCTGCTGCCACAGTGTGTATTGCAATGGTATTATTGAGTCCAAATAAGTCATTGTAAAGGACACTAATGAAGCTTGTTTATCAGGGTTAATTTGTGTTCTCTTCTTTATCACTTTATTAGCGTCGTCTTGGAGATGCTGCCAAGAAAGCCATTGGTAAATTGACAACCAGGACAGTAAAGAAGGGTGATAAGGTATAATAATAAGATTTCGGCATAATAAACTTGAGCATCACGTTTAATTTTTTTCTGGGGAAACAATCTCAGTATTTTCTTTGTGTTTCTGATTTATGACTTTGCCTTCCTTGTTGGAGGCTTACTTTGTCCTGTGGCACAAATTTTGTGTAACTGTTAGTATTGATGTGTGCTGTATATTTCAAAGAAGGTTTGCACTCCATTTGGCAACTGTGACTGAGGGTGGTTTTGTGTGCTGGGTGACTGGGAGGGTGTCCTGGCACGAGTAGACAGGACTGGCATTGTTTATGTGGAATTTTAAGGTTTTGAACCTTATCATATGTAAGTTCTGTAAAGAAAAAAATAAATTTAAAAGACAGGTAATTGAAGATAACCTCTTAAGTAAAATACGACTATTTAGTAAGTTAAGGAGGAGCATAAAGAGGTATTTCAGTCAAAGTTACTCCAAGAATATTTCTTGCTAGTATGCAGACTAAAATACATGGTGTGCTATGTCCTAAGCTATTTCTACTTTTGAGAGCAGTATTGCTTTATTTTTGTTTCTGGAAGGAAAAAACAGTCATTTAATCTTGCTTAATTTTTTGGCTTTAATTTTCAAAAGGCAGGGGAATTCTGGCTATGATTTTATTTTTTAAATACTATTTCTTAGGGCCTTTTTATTGTGATTCCTTTTTTCTTTCTTATCAACAGTATCAGCAGTAGGAGATTAGGAAGTGATAGGAAAATTTGCTTCCAGAGAGAAGGCAGAGAAAATGTCTTTCTGTTCTTCCTCCCTCCCTACATAGTTCTATTTCAAACAGCCCACTGCACTAAACCTTTTCTGAAATGGGAGAACATACAAATTAGAAGAACCTTTCCATGTAAAACAATGCTGTTGTCTTGACAGCATAAATTCAGAACAGGCAAGTGCTATGTAGGTTGCAGTACAGACAGCATGAGGTGAACAGAGTGGGAAAAATCTTTTCTTCCTCAGAGGAGCCATCAGGGTTCTCTGTGTGCAGCCCTGGCTGGTACTGACCTGTCTTGGCTGTGGCCTTGCTCTGGTCCCTGTCTTCATGTCTGGCTTGGAGCTGCTTGGCTTCAAAAAGAGTAATGAAGCAGAACTAAGAGGAGGTACAGCCTGTTTTGTGTCACAGGCCTGAACATTTCAAATATGATTGTTGATGCCATGTCTATATACAAATGAAGGCCCTCCCTTTTCATTTGAGATTTTAAAATACCATATTAAAAAATATAATTTAAAAGTGATACCTTCTGGAAAACAGAAAATAGAGGAGCTGGTCAATCAGTGATCCTCATATTCATGTCTTGATAAGAATTATGATAATTCTGCAAGTAAGCAGCAGACACAAATATGGGACTACTCTGTACTAAGTAAAATGTGCTCTGGCTGTAAAAATGAGCCCCAGAATTCTTAATCTGTCAAAGAAAACAAACAAACACCTGAATAAAATAGAAATGTTAGTTCTAAGCTGGAAGTAAAAAAAAAGGAAATCTAGGAAAATCTTCACTATATTTTATAATGATTTCACTGTACATTAGAATCATATTAGCCCTTAGTTTATGTATTAAATGATGATTTACCAGCTCCAAGAAGGGGAAGTTTTGCATGTATGAGATGCTTTTCTTGCTTAAGTCTTGTTGGAATATAATAATCCAGTCATTGGGTTTATAGTTTAGTAACAGCCACTTGGCACAGTGCAGTTCATGTTCTAGTCACAACTACTTTGACATTTGTCATAGCCTCAACTCTTGACTTGAATTCTCATTCTGTTCATTTTAGGAAACAGACCCAGACTTTGATCATTGTGCTGTCTGCATTGAGAGTTACAAGCAGAATGATGTTGTTCGCATTTTGCCATGCAAGTAAGATAATAAAGTTGCTTTGTTTGGAAACTGTTCTCTTTTGCTTCATTTCATGTAATAGGTGCATTGTAATTCACAAATGCATTTGTTGGATGTTTCCAGTCCTAATTACAGACAGTTTATTTTAGACTATGGTGCCAGGTGTGAAGATGGGTTCTGGCACTGTTAGGACAATGGAGATTAAACAGAATTATATTAAAGATATTGGCAAAGGAGCTATTGAGATTGCAGTGATGCGGTGGGGTGCAGGTTTAAGGACCAAGTGATGGGCAGACTCAAAAAACTTCAGTATAAGGAGCCAGGTACAGCTGCAGCATTCTGTATTGTAGATGTGCAACAACTAGCTGCTGGTTTTTGAAAACGTAGGGAATGGAAATGCGGTCTTTGCAACCTTCATATCTCCTGACATTAGTCAGCCACTGTGCTGTCATCTGTCTTTGGTCTCTTCAGTGCAGTGTGATCTTGGCTTGTGTCTGAAGATTTGTACTTGCTGGTGATTCTGCATTACTGCTTAAAATGTAGCAACTTCCTCCCCTTTTATAGCATTGTGTTGACATTTACAGGTTTTTAGTTTGCTTCCATTCCAGTTCCATTCCTGAGTTGTTTTTGGACATTTTCTCTTTGAGAGATGCTTTTAAATGCTTTTCCACCTGGTGGTTGATTTTGATGAATCATATATTTTGGTAGCATTAAGCATTAACAAGGACATCTTTCCCTTGTGTTCTGAAATGCAAAGCTTTCTCCTCATCTCCAGGCACAAAATCCACGTGTAAATTAGGTTGTATATACGTAGCAAGATCCAATAACTTGGCTTGTGCTTGGTACATAAATGGTTCTGCAGGATACTCTAGAAGAAGCAAAGTCATGTGTTGGTGTTGATCTCTAGTCAGGCAGCAGCAGCACATAAGAGCTCATTATTGGTCTTCTAAATCCTCCTGCAGGCTGTTCTGAATAGCTTGAATATCTTCTAATGTGCAGAGTATTTCCATAATCATAGAAAACAGTATTATTTTCTATCTTACTGATCAAAATATGTGTGCATTATACTTCTGTAGCCAAAAATCTAATTCAGTTTACTCTTCTCTGTGTTCCTTACCTCTTGGACAGCAGGAAACAATGACCTGTTTTAGATTCTCAGTGTTGTTTAGCTAAAATGCCCTACAACTGATTATTTAGAAACTCTTATTAAAATGATTTAGGAATAGGAGAGCTGAGATTGGAAAGATTTGGGAGCCTTTGGTCATGTTGATGTATGTGCATTTCTTTTTTACAATTCAGTCATTTTTACTCAAAGTTGATGTCCTCTTGCCCTGAAAAAATGTACTCCCAAGTGTAAAGTAAATATTTCAGAGTTACATCATTTATTGCAATCTCAAGTGAAGCTTGTATAGCTGAATTTAGCCCTGCTCTTTTGCTATGTTTTGCAGAAGGTTATTCAGAAATTAGAGGAGGAACTTAGGGAAATTGCCTACCAGTTTTGGACCACTGAGATGATTGTTAAGAAAGCATCTCTTGTGTAGTTGTACTGTGAGGCTCAAGGACATGGAATGAAAGGTCACAAGCCCACTCTTCTGTGCCTTTCTCTTGGTACTGAACAAAGGCCAGGAGGAGGTCCTTGCCAGTGAAGAGAGAATGACTCTTTCCCTGATAGGAAAACAGCTGTTCCCACTGAGCACAAGGCAGAGTTGGGATTAAAAGCCGACTTCCTTAGATAAACAACAGTCCCTTTGCAAGTAGTGGGTATGTTGCTGATATCCACAGATACCATACACACCATTTGAACAAGGTGATAATTGATTTTTTAATTAATAAAAATAAAGTCCTTTTTCTGCAGACACCCTTGTTGAGCTGTAGTCCTGCAGAGAGGAGGCTCTGGGCTCTCAGGGGTAGTTACAGCTGTCAGGGAGCTGCATGCAGGTGCACCTGGCTGCCACCTCAGCACAACCTGCCCCAGTGCAGTTTCCCATGTAAAGGAGAGATCAAGGCCCTTGTGTAGATCATTTTCTGTTCTGTTTTTCACAAGAATGTAAGGTCAGTGAAGGCTCAGATTACATTGCTGCCAAAGGCTGTATGACAACTTTTATGTTCGCTTTCTACCTCTTTTTTACATCTCACTTTTCATTTGCTGCGGCCCAGCTTTTAAGTTAAGTGCAGAAGCATCTAGGCTAGGCACAGTGAGATGGATGCTTTTCACAAGACATTTTTATATTTGTAGATGAAAAGCCAACTAGTACCTTCAAAGATGGGACCAATAAATTTCAGATTCCATGTGAGATTTTTCAGTCTTCAGTACCTGAGATGCTTCTCCCCAAATCTTGTTACGGAGGTTTAACTCCTTTCTGCTTCCTCATATTTCAACCTTCCATTTTAGTGCAGCATGCAATGTTAGTTAAAAAAAGAATAAAAAAACAAAAGAAAAACAAGCAGCACACAGACAATAAAACAAAGCCTACAAGAGAGTTTCTAAGCCAGATGAGAAAATAAATTGCAAGGAAACCATGGAGAAAATTACTTGACCAAGAGGAAGCAAATAAAAGGCTAGAAGTTCTCACTGTGCCTGTTATAATCATTAGACAGTAGGAATCACTGACATGTGGCATCTTTGCTGCTTTCATCAATTTAAAAGTAGCCTTTCCCTTTAGCAGCACCGTTGTTCTCTGCAGTTAAGTATTGTCTGTCACACTGTGCTTCAGCAGAGGAATCTGGTCTGGGCAGACACACAGCAGGCAAAATCTACCAGTAGCTGAGCAAGTTGCACCTAAAATTCTGTAGTGAAGCACCACATTTGTGATGTAAAGTTTTGTGGCATGCGGGAAATTGTGGCCAACTTAAAAATAAACTTGAAAAATAAACTTGAAAATAAAAGTGTAGTGGTAGAAATTCAACTGCATTGTTTGCAGTAGTTCATTTTGTGCTTCAGAGAGAGGTGTTCAGTACCAGCAGCCTAAGGACATACCTAGAGCTTTAGGGCACAGAGGGACAAGCAGCCATCTGTTTTAGGTTTGCAAGCTTGAGGAATGTGTCTTTTGTAAATGTCCTTATGGAAGTGAAAAGTAAGTAGAGGAAGCAAATGTCAGAGGAATCCTAGCAAAAGATCATGGACAATTTTCCTTATTCAGATAACGTTATTCTGCCATCACTGTTGCACTTAGGGGCTGAACAGGCACTAGGTGAAAAGTGATCAAGAGTGGGTAGTGTGAAGGATTAGCGAGAGATAAGGGAAGGGGAGAGCAAAGTGACAGGTTAGAGAAGAACAGAAAATTACATTGGAAAGGGCAGAAAGATGGCCAAGGAAGGAAGGAATTAACAAGATAGGAAAATTAAAAGAGTAGCAAATACTATAAAATAAATGGCTTTTGAGCCAAAATTTTAATTCCTGTCTTGGGCAAGAAGGAGGAAAGTGACAAAAGTGACTAAACAGGATTTTCAGATTTTTATATTTGATTCTGTGCTGCTGCAAATAGCTGCCTTTTTAAGACCAAATTAACATAGAGTCTTGATGGCATCCTTTCTGCTTCCTGCAGTGCCTTGGACCCCAGGGCCAGGAGAGCAGCTGCCTCCAGCAGTAGCCAAAGAACCTGCTTTGCAGCAGTAAAGGTCCCTTTGGTGGATGCTGTACTGAGAGCAAGGAAGTGTAGTGAGCTCTAGGGAAACAGCACTCATAAATCATTCAACTCTTCTCCTTTTGTGACATGTGAATTTGGAGACCTTATGCCACCAAAAGAGATTCCTAAGTCACTTTCTCCCCTGTGAAATGCTGCAAAGAAGCCATGTCGTACAGGAGTAGGTGTTATGGTGTTTATTACCAGCTGGAGGGCAACCGGATTGAGTGTGCTGACAGAGTGGAAAAATACCTGCAGGTCACCTGCCTGGAGTTGTGCCCGCATGGGAGACTCCGTGAGTGCTGCCAGCCTGGCTGGCCCTGCTTCCTCCAGCCCGAGGCTGTGTCACACCCCAGCATGTGGCTCCTGGGGAGCGTCATCAGCTGTCGTGACCAAGAACTCGTCACGTTTATGGTCTTGGTAGAACTCGTCACGTTTATGGTCTTGGAATACCAAGTACAGAAGTGGGAAGATGGAGGAGGTTTATGAGAGCAGAAATTGTAAGGGCTTACTTGGTCAGGGTAAGGTTTTGAAATAATTCTTGTTTGCTGTCGTCATTGCTGTATAACTGCTTTTTAACTCTTGCAAACAGAGAAATGCAGACAGAGCCTGAGCCGCAATGATGCTATCAGCAAACTTTGTAAGAGGTAGAGAAACTGTGTAAGTAGTAGGCAGAGCCATGCTTTCTAAATCAATAACCTTTGGGCAACTGCACTTCTTTGAAACACATTAATAAACATCCTTGAAGATTTAGGAACTAAAAGCAAAGAATTAGGAGGTCATAAAAACAATTGGGCTGTGTGTATAAATATATCAAAGTGCTAATGACTTTTTAAAATAACTCATTTAGTGGATACATGTTGGCATCTATATCAGTAACCTGCTTCACTTGATCTGAGTGCTTCTACAGCACTGATTAGCCAATAATCATGTAATAAAGCTGTTTCCATACTTCTGTGGAGTCTTGATGTCTGCTCTTGCCCAAAATACTAGATTTTCAGGTTTGTTCTACTTGAAAAAACACAGAGACTTTAAACATAAGCAAATAAAAGTCATAATTTGCCTAACATAGAAAAATAGCATCTCTGTACGTTTCAGAATATTTCAAACCATTATGTATCACCCAGAGTATTTAAATATTGTTTCTTGTAGTTTTGTGAGTATAAAGGAAATGCATTACGTCTTAATAATAATAGAAGTGAGTCTATTTTGGGTGATGATTTAAACAGAAGGCCCTGTACATACCCTGGTTTTTGTGACTGCCAGCTTGCTAGAGGACACAGGCCAGCTGAGTGGCTAACTGAGGTCCTTTAAGTTTCTATTCTGCATTCTGGGGTAGAGATAAAATTATTTTGCTGCTTGTCCATCTTCTGTTAGCTACTTTAAACTCTTATTCTGCATCTTTAGTTAGTACAGGTAGGACATACAGCTGTAGCTGCTTAGAACTTCATTGTTTCTATTCTTTAGTCCCTTCATCAGCCTGAGTAGACATAGACTGTTATATAATTATATACTGTCTTTTGCCATGTTTAACAGTTTCAGGATGCCTTTCAGGTTGCTTTCCAGAGATTTAAGAGAGAATTATCTGGTAACATGCCTCATTTGGTCTCTCAAGGGATAGGGAGCAAAGAACTCCCAGATTCCATGATGAGCTTTCTCAGGCCCAGAGCACAAGTGTAACCTGATCAAGGAGGGAACAGAGAGTATCTCAGCTTTGTGCTGCCTTGGGGCACGTATGGCCAGCTCTTCCAGACCCTGCTGATGCCTCAAATAGATGCCAAGACCTGCTTGTTCTGTCCCTGCCCCTTTCTCTTCTGGCTCCAGAGCACAGCTCTTTGCTGACTAAGCAGCCTTTGTAATTGCTATCTTTGTCATGATCACCAGTCTGTCGTGTTTGGGTGTGCTTGCTCTTACTGGCTTCTTGCTTTGCAGTCAGTACCACTGGAAATGAAGGGTCAGAGCTCTTATAATAGGAATTAACATAGGCAGTTACTCAGACTGGGTTATTAGGAGTATTTGCTAAAGTTATATTGGGTAGACAGTCTTGTGATACCCATTCCTGCCATGAATATGCTCTGAAAAGTTCTTTGCCTTTTGAAAAGCAAAGAGGGCATTTCCTTTACTTCCTTTAATTTATATACCTTGTTTTGGTGTCTGCGTAGTCCTTCCATGTTATACTGGTTTATATCAATCTCAACATTTGCATTTGTATCCCATGTATGTGACTAAGATTTTGAATGCAATGTAGGAGGCAATTCAGACTGTTGCTTATTGCAGAGTTCCCTGCTTTGCAAGTAGGAGCTCTATTTGCCTTTCCATCTCTGAAAGCCCAGTTTGCCTTTCCTTTTATTTTTATGACAACCGTATGGTGATGGACATGTTTTCTTTCTTGATACCAAGAAATACTGATGGCAGGGAAAGCTTTCTTTTTACTTCAATATGATGATTATAAAAGCATTTTCAAAGTCAAACAGGAGTGTGTTTGGGTTGGTTCCACTGACTTGTGAACAAAATTGACAGCTGATGGGTCTGTGCTCTTCCTACCAAGTTTATGCTCAGATTCTGCATCAAAACGGAGACAAGTCTGTATACAAGGTTGTGGTGGAAATAGCATTACCTTGGTTCTTCTACCTTGCATCTGCTATTCATATCCACAGTAAAAGGGGGAGAGGAGTGAGGGGGGAATTAAAATCTTCAAGTGTTTCCTCCTAATTGAACTATTAGTAAAGAAAGACAACAACAAGCAATAATTTTGGTTTTTTAATTACTGCAATTAGCACAGAATACTGACAATTATAAGAATTGTATGTGTTTTAAAATAAGGAAAAAACCCCAATTATCCAAAAGTTTAAGTAGTTTTCATTGTATTAAATAGAATTGTTTGCAAATTATTATGTGCCTTCTTTGTACTTCTAGGCACGTGTTCCACAAAGTCTGTGTGGATCCATGGCTCAGTGAGCACTGTACGTGTCCAATGTGTAAACTGAACATCCTGAAAGCACTGGGAATTGTGGTAAGCTGCTTGGTTGTGAACTCTTCCTCCCATGTCTGAGACCTAAAACAGAAAGAATAATTGTAGGGGAGAGAGGGGGAAGGGTGTTCCAGTACCCTTATTCCAAAAATATTTGGGGGTTTTTACAAATTTTTTTGGTGCCAATTTGATGTTTTTCCTTCTTTCCCTGGTTGGTAGTTGAGAATATATTTGCATTTATGGCAAGTATCTACTGGAAATATGTTAGATTCTCTGTAATCTTTCTTTTTCTCAAGTCCTTTCAACTCTTCTTGTTAAATTTGCTCTCTGTATCTCTTGTTCTTGTGGTTTTCTGTAGGCAGTCTTAAATTTACACATTAAAAGCCTCGCCCTAGCCAAGGCCAGTGAGTTTTCCTCAAGCAGTTCATGTCTTACGGGATCCCTGAGGACTGCTTTTATTGACCAGTTCACAAAGGGAAAGCAGTGAAACCTCAGTGCAGATTTTTTTAGTCTTTCCTGTATGAAGAAAAAATTACAAAGTGGGAGTGATGCTCTTTTCAAAGTAAGAGAAGAACATATGGAGAGACTGTGTAAAGTGGCTCTTGATTCAAGACAGTGAGAATAATCAGGCCTCAATTTTCAGCTATGTCAGTTGCAAATTTGCACATTTCCTAAGAAATAGTAGCAGATATTTTGTGGATGACCTTTTTGCAGTTAATAACATCCCAGGGTTTTTAGAAGAGCATACAGAATTCAGAGTTTGTCATGGTTGTGCTAAACCATACTGGCGTAGGTTATGATACAGGTGTACTTGAGTCCCTCCCTTGTATCTTCATTCTTTTTTCTGCTTCTTCCTTCTCTTTAGCGGTAGAAGTTGTTCATCCATGTGTTTCTTACCTGTGTGACCTCGGGACAGCCACAACAGCTGAACAAATTGTGTGTGTGTGTGGTTCCATTCAATGTGTGGGGGTGCTGCATGTGGAACATTCATTCCCCAGTGTAACGTGGAGCTGTTTTTCACCAGCCCAACGTGCCGTGCACGGATAACGTCGCCTTTGACATGGAGAGGCTGACGCGGGGGCAGCCGGCGAGCAGGCGCTCGGCGCTCGGCGACTTCGGCACCGACAGCTCCCTCAGCCTGGAGCCCCTGCGCACCTCGGGCATGTCACAGCTGCCACAGGACGGGGAGCTGACACCAAGGTCAGGAGAGATCAACATTGCAGTGACAAGTAAGTGTCCTTCGGCTCCCGGTACCGTCTACGGCTTCCGTGGTGTGTGTGTGTGTGTCCCTCTGTGCTGCAGGGCCCTGGTGATGGATGTCGCTGCAGGGACAAAGGTGACCTCAGTGTCTCTGCAAGAGGCATATGCTCCTTATTGGAACCAATAACTCTGGGTATGACAGTGCCAACACTTCCATTATTAATGGTGTATCCATTTAGATCGGCATACAAAGAACCCTGGATGAACTGAAATGGCACCAAAATAACCTTCCTGAATTTGGTAACCAGCACAAGAAGCTGGATTGCCAAAACTGGTATTTATCTCTTCAGAATACTTTACATGCAATAATTGATGCAAATATAAATATTTTAGCTGATAGCTATTTCTGCAGACATTTTTTCCCCAGAGAACATTGCTACTGGAATTCTGACATCACTTAGCAGGTGTTTTTTCTTACAAAATTTGTGACTTAAGGAAGCATTTGATGTGCCAACATTTGAGTATTGTCCAACTGTTTCATAACATCAAAAAGTTGTTCCTACACTGCTTGAAAGCTCTTATCCATAAGAGTAGCATGGAAATTTTCCACTTACTGGAATTTGCCTAGGAATTTTAATGTACAATCACACTATAATAAATACAGATTGTATGGAATTGCATCAGTTTTCCATATGCTGTACAGTCTTAACTTGATGCATGAATGGTTGTTTCTCTGGCTGAATTGAAAAATAGAATCCGTGCAGTACAACAGTCTAAGTTTCTCCTTGTATTTTGTTTATGTGCATCTGTGATCTAGATTTTGATCTTAGTGACACTGGTTGCCACTGATACATGTATACAAGGCAGTGAAACCAATGCAGTTCATAAGAGTGTTTCTTTAGATACTGTAGCAAAGTAAATGTTTCATTAAAAAAAAAAATCACATCATAAAAGACATAGTCCATATCTAGAAATGTTCTGATCTGAGATGGGAAAGTCCACATACAAAATCTTGATTCTCCTCAAAGCCAGTAAATCACTTTGTCATCCAGTGTTTAACCTCTGGTTCACCTTGCACTCAGTTGTGTTGAACAGGAACAGATCCTTTGCTGTGCTGCTGCCTTGTCATGGGTGGGAAAACTGTAGTTTTCTCTTTTTACTAATTGCCTTTTCAGAAGGTGTTTTATACTGTCTCTTCCCAGCTGTAGTGCTGTTGGTGCACAGATGGGATGCCAGGGTAAAAAAGAAATAACCACCAACAGTTCATTCTGACAATGTTTATAAAGTAAAGCTTTAGAAAGGGTTCTTGAAATGTTTGTATTTTATGGGTGACACCTGCATTCTTTGATGCATGAGAGTTAAAACCAAAAGCTGTTTGTCAACAGTGTTTGTATTCTGACCTGTTACTGTATGCTAGGTTGATCCTTGTGAGAATTTTGAGTAGTGAACATTCTTTAATAGGCTTCTTTTTATTTAATATATGTATATGTCTACCCTAGTATTGAAATTATTTTTCCATGGATATATCTGTCTCTTAAGTAGAAAACTGTAGTTATGTTTTACTGTTGAGCAATCTCTATAACAAATTCAGGAGGGAACATAAATTCAGGAGGGAGGGGGAAAGATACAGTTGAAGTGGGACATTATTTTGGGTGTGCTTGTGTGAAAGAGCTGCATCTCACCAAACCTAACCCAACCTGACAGTCGTCTTTCTGACTTGGGGGTGGACAGAGTTTTCACTACATTTTCCCTTGATCCTGCATTTCACTTTACATTGTTAAGTAACTTCTTTATCACTAACCCTTGGGCTCAGACAGGAAATACTGTTTGTGCCATGCTTTTTTCTGCACCTCTCTCCACTTCTTCTTTGCTAGCCTTCTCCCGTCAGTAACTCTGTGGCTTAACCTCCTTCTGCTTCACCTCCTGGGGCCAGTCATGGCTTAGAAGCCTCTTGCCTTCCGCCAGTGGTGTTTGAGGGAAATATTGGCATCGCTTTCTCCCACGAGTGATTTCCTCCCTTTCCTTTGTCAACAGAAGAATGGTTTATTATTGCCAGTTTTGGCCTCCTCAGTGCCCTTACACTCTGCTACATGATCATCAAAGCCACAGCTAGCTTGAATGCTAATGAGTAAGTAAATACTCAGATGTTTCTGTGTGTTTCTGGTGGGTGTGTGTCATGGACAACATTGGGAAGAAATACCAACAGAAGGGGGAATATGTAGTTTTCAAGGAATCAAAATCATTTCCTGATTTTCTCAAACACAAGTGTTGCTGTTAACAGCAGGTTTCAGGGTAACACATAAAGTCCCTCTTAATTTATGTTTAACTGGGTTGTCTGAGGAAATCTCTTTGCTAAGTGGAGATATGAAAAGGGGAAAACAGAGAATATTTATGGTCAGTTTTTGATCATTGTTCTAGGTAAACATTAGATTTCTGCTGTTAAATTCCTGTGTTCAAAATTTACCTGCCAGAGCCAAAACTTACTACCAGCAGTTACCTTTTACAGCTTTCACCTCAATATTATAGTCAAATTTCATATTAAAAAAAAAAAATAAAAATCCTGTGTTCCTAGTTTGCACACCTTCAGCTAAGGGGAAAAAAATAGGTGTTTAAATGGAAATTTACCTTTTTCCTCTTAGATGAGGGAGAGATGAAAGCAATGAATGCAGTACTGATTCTTCTCTCTTAAATGAAGGGATGCTTGTTTCCATGCTTTCTTAACTTATGTGGAAACCTCCAGCCTCCCTTCAGGCAGGCTGGACAAGAAATTACCCTGACATATGACTTTCAGTCTTTTTCTTATAAATCTGTGTGTGGCCAAGTGTAAATCTGTTTTGCAGATCTATTAACTAGGTACATGTAATTATTTTCATGTTGGTGTACAGAATATTTGGGCTCAGGATATATGTTTCATCTTAATTTAATTTTTTGTTGGGGAAGGCAAATTGTCAACATCTTTGTTTGTCTCTGAACATTTTGACACAGCTGATGTTCCATTAAAGTACTGATCTCTCTTCCAGAAGTGGGGTGAGATCCAAAGAAATGCAGCTGGGAAATGCAGCTTTATAAACATTTTGCTTGGGATTTTTTTTCCTTTGAGATAAAAGAAGGGGTTTGGAATTTTTTTTCTTTCTCTTTTTTTTTCTTTTTCTATTTGGAAGTATAAGCTGTCCTCAATAAGATGGAAACATGTCTAATAGTCTCCAGTGTAAAATTTGAGGCAATCTCAAGCTAATGATCTTCAGAAGGGTTCATCGGGGATTTTTGATTACCACTAATTTGCAAATCTTCTTCCTCTTTTCATATGTTGATTTGAAAAGGGCTTCATGAAGAAAACCTTAAAACTTCAAAAAGCCCTATCAAGTCTTTTTTTTTTTCCATTTGTTAAAATCTTGAAGTTGCATCCATCAATCAGCAACTTGGTGACAGAGCTGCAGCTGGACATAGTTAATCTTTAAGCTGCCTGGAAAAGTAGCTTGGGAAAGCATGGGGCAAGATGAGCTGCAGAACAGGAATGTCTGCATTGCTGGGCACTGGCAAGTCCTTGGGAAGGAGGAGGAGCTGGAGCCCATGAAGTCTCATCCAGATGTGGGCACTGATAGCAGCTGCATTTCTGCCTTTCCTTGCAGCTCTTCTTTTTGTTGCTCAGTGGGATCTGGGACTGTTTTTTACTGCAAGGACAAGCTGCTGCACATTGGCAGGGACTTCGGGCCTCCAGCAAAGTGTTTTCACAGTGATGTTCTCTCAGTATAAAGGGTGTGCTGATACAAGGAGAGCTCAGTTCTCAGTGATAGGAATTGAAGTGCAGGCACATTGAGTGTGTGCTTCAGACAGACTTGAGAAAACTCACAACTCAGCAACCAGAGCTTCAAAAATCCCTTATTTATGTAACTGAGATTCTTGGCTGTGGCCTTTAACCTCAGCAGCTCTTCATCTGAATCCTTTGGGATCTGAGCAGCCTCCACAAGTGCTGCTGGGTTTGACTACTCATTTTAGACACTTTTAAATGACACTAATGCTATGATTTATTGTTTCACTGACACCTTCTCAGAGCCAGACAAAGAATTTCCTGTGATAAATATCATGCCTGATATATGGCAGCTCCTTCTCATTGCTTTTTCTATTAAACAGCATACCTGCTTTTTATGCTGCTCTCCATGTAAAAAGCAATGCTGACATCCCTGGCTTTCTTATGGTAGTGTTTCAAGAAGAATCTGGGGGGGGTTTCTTATTGAAAAACAACAGTAGCAAGAATGAGGACATGTAACATGCTGATGCAAGTAAAAGACCAGAAATTCTGCTTTAAAACTCACTTAAAAACATACCCAGTACCTTTTCTTTACTATGTCCTTCCCACAGCTTAAACATAGTTATTTAGAACATTAGTTCTGGAGTTGTAAGTATACATATTTAGCTGTGTATATGTATATTTGTGTGTATGTATAAATACACACACATGCATTTTTAAATAGCTGTGATAAAAGTAAGCATTGTCTAAATTATAAAATAAGGAACCAGCTGCTTTCTCTTGGTCTCAAAATACCCTTACAGCACCAGTATAAAAAGTTTTAGGCAGTGTTTGAAAGGAACAGAAGCAGCACAATTTGCCTTGCTTCCTAGGGAACAATCAGAAATTACTGTGTAAGTGAGGGTTTAAGCCCAAAAAGCCCAAATGTTGGATAGCACCACTTAGAGAAAGTTTTCAGTAGCAGATGGAGTGTCCTCAAAAGCTTAGAAGTGCTCAGACCACTGGCTGGCCTGCAGGAATGATATGACAAATACAGACATATCTTAATG